CGAAGAATCAACCAGTCTGTTTCTTTTAATAAGATTTCTCACATTTAGTCAGCAACTTCCTCCAAACCATTCCTCAGAGTCATGGAGAATTACATATAAAGTAATAAGGAATGGATTTGTCCTTCTCAGTGATACTGATTTTCGCAAAATCACCATGTTAAAAACCCAGGAAAGGATGCATTCTAAGGTTTTAGAAACTTGGCTCTGAGTGGAAGCAAACCCTCCATCCCTGACACTATGACCCACTCATGCTACCAGCCACCTGCTGCAGGACCACCTGTTCCAGGACCCCCTGCTGTCAGCCCACCTCACGGGCGTTGGTCCAGCTGCTGTGACCAAACCTGCATCCTGCTGAGAGGAGTGCAGGCCATGCAGAAATGCCACATCTAGACAGTCCCGGCTAAGCCCAGCCCAGGCGCCACGCACGTGAGTGAAGGGGCTTGGTGATTCTGGCCCCTCGCCAGCTGAATATTTCCAGACATATAGAATTATGTATGCACAAACATTTCCAGCTTGAGCAAATGAGACCAGAGACAGTGCAGGGTGAGAAGTCTTTTGGGACCCCCAGAATTCTGCTGGCAGAAAACAGGCTGAGATTGCTGCTCAGCAAGAAACTTGTGCTCTTTTTTCATGAAGAAGGAAGAAGGATGGTTCCGAGATCAGAACTAAGAGCCCGAAGAGCAAATCCAAGAACCATGGAGAATTATTCCCAGGCATGGACACCTAATCAAGGAACTACCAACATTTGCCCAACTTGATTTCAGAATTAGACTGGCGACTGCCTTATACCCTCATTCTCCCCACCCCTGGAAAAGAGGTGCCTACATCGGTTATCCTGTGCTCTCCCACTACTGCGTGTCAGGTATGTGAGAGCCAGAAAAGTGTGTCTTTAGATTCACAAGCCTACAGGTGTAGAAGAATTGCACTCTACAAGCTGTACTTCAGGAGCTGTGCATCCACACTTGGACCTGCTTTCTCCGGTGGGATTCTGCACTTGGAGCTTATGCTGGAGTAAGATGAGATTTGGGGACCTTGAGAGGGAGGGAGTGCATTTAGCATGTGACTCACTGGGGGACCCAAAAGCAGGCTGTGTTAGGCAACCTCTAAGGTGATTTCCGATTATGCCCACCCCTGGCTTTCACACCTTGGCGTAGTCCCTTCCCCTGGAGTGCAGGCTGGATTTACTGACCTCCCTCTAACCAACGGAGGACAGTGAACGTGGTGACCATATTGATCTCAATCTCTCCCTCTTGGGCCCCTCGCCCTGGGAGGATCCAGCTGCTATGCCCTGAGGGCAAGCGGCCAGTGTGTGAAGAAGCCCACATGGCAGGGAAATGATATCTCTGGCCAACAACTGGCAAGACCCTGTGGCCTGCCAGCAGCCACAAGAGTGAGCTCGGCAGTGAATCCGTCACCATCCAAGCCATGAAGTGACTCCAGGTCTAGCCAGCCTCTCAGCAACTGCCTGCTCGGGGACCCCGAGCCGGAGCACCCAGCGCAGCCACACCTGGCTTTCGAGCCCGCACAAACGGTGAGATAACACTAAATTTTGGTGCCATGTGTTATGCAGCAATAGATAACTAATCTAATGAAACAGATCCATGTATCAAAGTGCAATTGCGTTCTTTTTTTTTTTTTTTAACTATGTCATAAACCTGGAAGTACATGGAGGACTAAAGGTCAGTCTTTTTTTTTTTTGTCCAGGAGTTTCTTTAATTTATTTTTGTTACAGATGTTTCTCCTTTTTTCCCCATTGACACCCTCTTCCCGATCCCGCTGCTCCCCTCCCCCAGCATTGTTGTCTATGTCCATTGGTTACGCATACATGCGTATACGTTCTGTGGTTTATGTCTTCCCTCCCCTCATCCCCCTCTTCTGAGGTTTATCAGTCTGTCCCCTGCTTCCGTGTCTCTGAGTCTATTTTGTTCATCGGTCTGTTTTGTTCATTATAGTCCAAAAATAAGTGAGGCCATGTGGTACTTGTCTTTCTCTGACTGGCTTATTTCGCTTAGCATAATACTCTCCAGGTCCCTCCATGTCGTCTCAAAGGATAGATCTTTCTTACAGCTGCATAGTACTCCATGCAATTGTATTCTTAATTCTTAATAATAAGTTATTAATTATGAAGCTTAATTATTGCTATAAATCTTAATTCTTAATAAAAATTACTCTTAAGAGCAATAATAAAGGAAAAAAGTAAATTTTATAATTTTACATTATATATATATATTTTTTTTTTCCTTAAATTTCTAAACCGGGATACTATGGTTATTGCTTGAATACTTTGTAAACAGTACGCACATACAACTGAACAGTGAGGAGAGGGGCACACAAGGTTGTACCTGAGCAGGGAAGAAGGTAAATGGCCCTGGAGAGGATACAAAAGGACTTCAACTTTACCAATAAGGTTTTATTTCCATTACATTTCCTAACGATCCAAAGTAGGTGTAAGAAGATGTCGATTCTGGTTGGTGGGGTTTGTCCTATTTTTCTCAACCCTTCCCTGTATTTTTAAAATTGCTCCCTACTCAGGACAGAAGTGTAAGTGAAGACTTAGTTATGAGCCTGTCGGGGCTCGGCGGAACATTCTTTATAATGGGAGGTTTCGATGTTTTATGGACAAGTCCTGGCAAACCCGAAAGGAGCTCATAAAGGCTCTGGCATGTGCGCTGCTGCCAAGCGTAGGGAAGGTGCGCAGCTTCCCAACAGCCCCCCACACCTGCCGCGTTGGAAGCGCGCAGCCTGCGGGCGGGCAGGTGGCCAGCGGACAGCGTTTGCCAGCGCGGCGGAGAAATCCATCATCAGAACAACGGAAAGAAAGGGACTTCGATGGGCGAAAACTAGTGCCCAGTGTCTCGAGCATTCTAGTATTACGAAGCAAATTATTTAAGGAGCTGTAACTCCTTCGACTTGTATGTGAGGACCGTTGCTGCGAATTCTGTTCAGGACGGAGGGACGGCGCATCCCACTTGCGATCTCATCCTTCCTCAGCGTTTCTGAAATCTCGCGGACGATGTGGGCGTGAGAACTGAAAGAGGGTTCCCATCAAAGTGTCATTTCTGGACGACATTCCACCCGTGGTAATAATTTTGAGATACCGAGGTCCCTCTCTCTCTTCCTTCTGCTTTATAATTTTCTGTTTGGACTTCAGTTGCCAATAACTGAGTCAATTCTATTCCTTGGGTAGCACATTATCATTTTGGGTTCTTGCAAGGCCCCTCTCTCGTTTATTTTTTTTCTTTATGTACTTATACATTGATTACTTTTTTAAAATATTTTTTTCTTTATTGATCTTTAGAGAGAGAGAGAAACATCGATGAGAGAGAACATCGATTGACTGCCTCCTGCACGCCCCCCACTGGAGATCGGACCACAACCTGGGCATGTGCCCTGACCGGGAATCGAACCAGTGACCTCTTGGTGCCTGGGTCGGCACTCCACCACTGAGCCACACTGGCTGGGCGTAAATTAATTGATTAAATTTCTGTTCTCCCATGCACCACTCTTGCCCAACAAGCAGATCTTTTATTCTGTTGAACAAATACATTCTTCAGCAAACAGCCTCAGACGTCACCTTCATCACGGGCTCTCCTGGCTCTGCAGCGCAGGCCCACACTTCAGCCCCAGAGGTGGACTTGTCCGCCTCCATAACCACGTGAGCCTTTCCTTTAAATAACTAAATATTCGAATATCTTAAATATCTACATTGTTCCCGCTCCGGAGAACCAGATTAATGCAACACCCGTGGGAGGAGCACCTGAGTGTCTCCCCCTCTCCTAGCGGTGCACCTCAGACTTTCTTTAAATCTCTGTCATCACAGCAATGCCGCAGTGTGCCTCCCTCTGTGGACCTGTGTGAGAATGTGGGGGTTTCAGACCTACAGACCCAGTGCCCCCAGACTGATGGGAGGCCAGAGCCGTTGCTATAAGCGCACACTGCAAATCTTCCTCTAAGCTTCCCCCGAAAGAAACCAACCCAGCCATTTAAAAAGGGTTTAGAGTTAATAATTATACACTAGAAATGCTTGGTCAGAAGTTCCCTTTGACGAATTGTTTTTTGGGTTTTTTTTTTTTTTTTTTTTTTTGGTACGTGCCCCTAGCGAGAACTGAACCCGGGACTCTCTGGTCCGCAGGTCGACGCTCTAACCACTGAGCCAAACGGGCCAGGGCAGACTAATTGTTTTTAAAACTGTCTCTTAGACTGTCAAAAATATAGGAAACAATTGCCAAAAGTTATTAAAGGGTGTATGATTTTATTTAAATTGGCCATTAGGTAAATTGACCATTTAAATAACTTTTAACTGAATTAACCTTTAGCTGTTTTCAATGGCTGAAACCTCATGTTTATTTTAATCTGTGGCTTCACAGGACCATTTCTGTCTTTGGCTTCCCAAGTCTATTCACTGCAGGACACTGAGGCCACTCAACTCAAAAGAGCCGTTGGTGGTGTCACGGTTGGAAGCCAGGGAGGCATTAACTTTACTTCTTCCAGCTGGAGCACCTACAACCCTAGACACCAGCTGCCCTTGCAGACCAAATGCAGACCACGGACCCAGAGGGCCCGAGGTCATCGCGGTCAAATGTGACCCGGAGGAAATCGACGAAGCAATGTGTTGAAAGAAAGCATGCTGGGAATCTTATCCATTATGCTCAACCAGTCCCATTTTAATTAGCAGTTGGTAGCAAAGGACTCTTTTTAAAGACTGGGCAGCATAAAAAAAAAAAAAAAAAACTGGAAAGAAGACTTTGCTGAAGTGAAATGAACTGACATCGGGAAATGCAAAATACAGCGTGGACCATATTGCTGAAAGGTTCTCCTCAGTGAAGACAGATCACTCAGTGGCTGCACAGGTTCCTGCTCCAGGTCCTGGGGAGAAGGCAGGGCTGGACTGGGCGGGACGTGAGCAAGCAGGCATATTTGTGCTTGGCCGAGGCGGACACCGGGGTGGATACACGCTGCAGACAGCCGCAGACCTCAGAGGAGGTGCGTAGTGCGCTCCATCACACAAGTGTTGCCTTACAGAAGCTGGACTTGTGGCTGGGTTGGCAGGAAGGGGATTTGTAGCCACTTTGGTTGCAGAAAGTAGGTCTGCCACAAGCTGGTTGGCCGGACAGCACGGTGCCACAGGAAGCTGGTTTGCAAGAGTACTTTACAGAACAAGGGGGCTGGAAGTTAGCCACTGGCTGGCAGATGAAGGATATGGGAGGAGCTGCTTGGCGGAGGTGCAGTGACTGGCAAGGGGAGGTCACACAGCAAGTAGGTTTGCAAGAACTGAACACGCAGGTCGATGGCTGGCAGGGAACTGATTGGCAGGTCTTGAAAATGTAGCAAATGGGCTGGCAATAAGTTGATTTGCAGGGCTGATCTTCACCACTAGCGGGGTGACATGCACCTACTTGGCTGCAAGTTGGTCGGCATGGACTAGCTGCACAGCCAGTTGGTGGGCAAGAGGCTTCAGGACAGGAAGTCACCTCAGAGCAGGATGGCTGGCAGGACCTGGTGTCACAGCAGACTGATTGGCCACTGGCTGCCTCGAGAGGTCCGGACACGAAGACATGTTCCTGGCAGGAGCTTTGTTGACTGGGGCTGACTTCACAGCACTGTTCCTGACCCCCGGTGGATTCCAAACAGGAGGGCTGACAAGGAGACTGGCCGGTGCTGGACTCATGGGAGGCTGTGCAGGAGCAAATGGGTTGGCAGACAAACCCCACGCAAGGAGTTGCTGGAAAGCAGATGGGTTGGCAAGGAGCAGGTTCGCAGCCACCTGGGACACTGCCGGATGGCTGACAGTTTTCTTGGCCTGTGACCAGTTGCCATGTTCTGCTCCAGCAGGAACTAGGCAAACAGATACCATTTGGGAAGTTGCCACCCTTTGGGCACCTGAAGATGGTGGGTACAGCTGGGACGGCCGTGACATTTCCAGGACAACAGCTGTCCACCATGGTGCTGGTGCTACCTTCCTGCGAAGTTGCAAACTCCGTATACTCGAGCTTGAAAGACATCTAATACACAAGGGCTTTTATAGTCTTTCACTAGGGGTGTTGGCACAACAGAGCATCTTTCCTTGTTGTTGTTTCTACTGGTTTGCAGACAAACATCTCATTAGCAGGCTTCAGGAGCCTGGGAGATGTTGTCCCCACTTTTAAAGCTTGTCTGTTGAGTGGGGAGTTTTCTTTGCTAAGTTTGGATTCCTTGATGCCGCTCCTGCTCTGGGATGAGCTGTTGCTTTTACAGGAGGTTCCCCAGCCTCCCTGAAGCAGCCCTTGGCTGACACTAACCTCTCATCAGGAGGCTGCAGCCCAGCCAGAGCTCTTCCACCAGGAATGCGGCTCTGCACCATTCAGTCAGGAGATGAAGCCCTGACCCAGTTCAGGGAGGACGCCGTCGGAGATGGCGAACAGAAAACCAGGCAGTGCATCCCAAGGGCATTCTCTCCAGAACCTTCCCGTTGGGCTTCCCTGAAGCTCAACTTTGCTCGTACCAATAGCAATAGTAATGGCTTCCATTTGTCATGTACTTACTATGTACCAAGTCCTTGGCTGCATTATTCATGAAATCTTTGCAATGACCCTACTTAGTAAGTGTAATTGTCACCACCATGTTGGAGGTAGCAAAACTAACCCAGAATTTAAATAAGTTTCCAAAATTATGCAAGTAATGAAGGGTAGAAATAAGAATCAAACCTAGGTTGGGCTGACTCCAAAACCTCTGAAATTACCTATTGAACCTCCAGACTTTGGAGGGGCAAGGGAAAGACTCTAACATAGCATAGTGATTGAAGGCTGACATTTGTGCAGCAACACACCTGCTCATGGGTCAGGCGCATGGGGTCAGGTGGCCCAGACCCATGCTAGGGATCATCTGCCCACTCCAGTGACTGTACTCCTCAACTAGATCAGACCTGCATGAGTACTTACCTCTGCTTATCAATACACCCAAAGACAATCTTTGAATTTGGAAATGTAAAACCGCCCAACGTTTCATCAAGAAAGGTTAAACTCACACTATGATGCCAATGCATATGCATTCTATAAATATACAAACACAACAACCAGAAGTGACATGAGGACGTCACTGAAAAGCCGCGTTAGTGTTATATGAACCTCTTCCAAGAAGGACTTGCAAGGCGCTTTTCTGACCCTCCCCCTCTCCCTCTGGGCTGGTCCTGGCTCTGCTTCGCCAGCCAACCCCAGCATCCCACACGGGCCCACGTCCTGCCCTGGTTCACAGCGGAGAGGCGCCATGGAAAGGAAAGACCATGGCTCTGGGAGCCAGGCAGGGCTGGTCTCGATTTCTGGATCAGCTACTAACTCACTCTGTTGGACCTCTTGGCTCATGACCCCATGTTCAAAGTACCAAGAGTTCATCAACTGCGTTGCTGTTGCTCAGTTACTTTTGTTCTTACCTGTCCCTCTCAATTATGGAAAATGCTGGAAATCCTGGAAGCTACTTTTCAAAGTGCCTCCCCTGAGAACCCCGCCCCTACTTTAAAGAGACATGTTTCTGGTTGAGCAATGCCGGGAAAGCTGTCCCGTGGTGGTTGAGAGGCTATCCTTGCCATTGCCTCTATGTCACAGCATCGGTGGCTCCTTCGCCCTCACCTCATCGCTGCTCATTTCAGCCTCCTGCAGACTACAGGGTCCCGAAGGGTGTCGTATCCCGAACGCCTGCATCCCAAGGCCTTCGTCGCCCAAGAGGAAGTATTTTTGGTCTCAACCAAGTGAGTCCACCAAAATGGAACTGAAATAGATTTGAGACACCGTGTCAACTTCGATCTGAAAAGGATGCCAGTACCCTACACCCATACATACCACTTTGATTGTCTCGAAGAAATCCATGTTTGCATCCACGTTTCTCTCATTCTTCTCTTGCCTCACTTTGCTTAAAGAAACCTCTCAAGGGGCTGGTAGAAGGGTGCAAACTTTCAGCTAAGATGGTAAGTTCTAAAGATCTAATAGATATAACAGGGTGACTACAGTTGATAACATTGTATTGTGTAATTAAAATTTGCTAAGAGAATTTAAATGCTCTCATCAAAAAAATGACCAATTTGTGAGGTGATGGATGGGTTAATTAATTAGGTGGGAAAAATCCTTTCACTATATGTGTGTGTGTGTGTGTGTGTGTGTGTGTGTGTATACACATCATACGGCACACTTTCAATATCTTACAACTTTATTCATCAGTTATATCTCAAGCAAGCCTGGGGGGTTGGAGAAACCTCTCAATAAAGACAACTTTCATTTTGCTGTGCTTCAAGGCACTGAGGACATCTAGTGTATCCCCAAGGGCTGTTGTGATCACATCAAGAAATACAGCAATACATAACAAACACAGGCTTTGGACAGAACTGGGTTGTAGTCATTTGTATGCTACCAGCTGTGACTATATGAATTTTGTGTTTAGCACCCCCTGTGAATATAGATATAAAATATATAGTATATATAATACAATGTATATTTTTGTATATATGTATACATGCATGTGTACTCATATATGTAAATGCATGTGTGTATGTGTTGTTTTTGAACTTTAGATGCATGTGTGCTCTCTGAGGCTTGTTTATATCAATCCACGTTACATTGGTAAGGTTCCTTGACCAGTCATTTTTCTCTGCAGAATAATAATCTATTGCATGAATTTCTTATCTTTCTTGATGGGCACTTAAATTGTTTGTCCTTTATATTTTTCACCTGTAAAATACGTGAGAAGAAATTTCCTCACAGAATGACCATGATTGACATGAAGCACTTGGTCCGTGCTTGGCACAGGGATTTACAATCTGGCATTCTCCTCTCTGACTCTGGAAGGAAACAGATAAATCCCAAAGCTTAAAGAGACAGCAACTCCAACACCAGTGGCAGGATAAGTTTCACCCTTGGCTTTCTCCCTCTGCCATTGTCTAACCCAGTGGTTCTCAAACAAGGGTGATTTTTTCACACACACTGCCCTCCAGGGGATGTTGGGCAATGTCTGGAGACATTTTTGGTCATCACAATCCAGGGACACTACTGGCATCTAGTTGGTAGAGGTCAGGGATGTTACTTAGCTTTACAAGGGTGTGGACTGCCCCACTACAAAGAATGATCCAGCCCAAAATGTTAATAGTGCCTAAGTTGAGAGCCTTGGTCTGCCTTCTCCTATGCTTAGGATAGCCCACACTGCACCTTGAGGACAAGGGATAGCTCTTTGTTCTGTGCACTAAGTGTAAGGGGTGACCACTTTGAAGAGGCTCTGTCCTTAGAGATTATAAGAGGCTATGTATGGAGTTTATACAAAGAGTGTGTCTTATAGGACTATGACACAAGAAATCCAGGTTACCTTTCTTATTGTGCACATGATCCCCCCACACTTGTTTTCATCCCACAGAAGATCCCAAAGCCACTGGCCTCCCCCCCTAGTCTCCCTGTACCCAAGAACATACTCCTCCATGCAGCTCTCAGCACCAAGGCCAGAGGGACATTCCAAACACAGTGCTTTTTATGTCACTGTCCCGCATTCAGCTCCTTGATGCCTTCACGTCAGTCCTGCACCAAATCCAACGCCTCTGCCCAGCACGCGAGGCCTGACCAGGGCAGCTCACTGTCTGCTTCTCTGATCTCCGAGCCCACCACTCCTCCGAGCACACCGTTGCCCAGGCCTCGCCTAGTGAACAGTGTGCTCACAAGCACACTCATTTGTACATGTTTCTTCTACCCAGAAAACTCTCCCTTCCTGGTCTCTAACTGGTTCATTCATACTTGTGCTGAAAGACAAGACGTCAGTGCCACAGTCCCCAAGAACACTGCCCCGGTTTCCCCTTACACCTGCTGTGTTCACCACGCCTGTGCCTTCCTCTCCCAGTGCATTGTCTTTCTGTCCATTTGTCTCCCCACTGGCGTGAGCTCCTCAGAGAGCAGGGGCTGAGACTTTTGTCTTCTCAGTCCTAGAGCCTAACACCGTCCCGAGCACCTACCAGCTATCTGATAAAGCGAGTGGGAGGGAGGGAGGGAGGGAGGGAGGGAGGGAGGGATGGGTGAATGACGCTGCTCTCAAAGACGACACAAGGCAGCTGGTGAGAATACGGCATTAGCAAGAGAGCAGTGCAAACAGCGTGTCGCTCAACTTGGCCACGTTTATTGCAGTTACAAATCCTTCTCTCATTGAGGAGGCCCCCAGGGAGCATGCGCACACAGGAGCACATGCGTGAGAACTGAAAACAACGTCTGCCAGAAGAGGCTGGAGATGATGAGCAAAGCTCCATGGCAGCAGCAAACAGGGACCCAGCGCGTCCTCCTCTCGGTGCCCAGGAGACCGTCATCTGGACCACTAAGAGACTGCTGCTTCCGGTGAGTTCTGTGAAGCATAAGCGGAGGGTGAGTGGTGGTGCAGAAAGAAAAAGATCCTAGCTACGTCATGATGTGCTTTGGGGAGGGCCGTCAAGTTTTCTTCTCTAGTCAGAGGTTTGCTTTGCAGGAGTTGGTGGGCTGTCAGTTCAGCTGTTGGCAGGCTTGGTGGCAGCAGGCTGGCTGGCTGTGGCCTCACGGGTGGTTGAGCTGGTGGATTTATCCTCTGTGGGCTGGCAGGGGTTGGCGTCTGAGATTTCCACCTTGCAGGGGGTGGAGTCAGCACGATCCAGTTGGCTGGAAGTGGACTTTTTGCAATCCTGTCTGCTGGCATTGGCGCACGGCGGGCAGGGGCTCACCGGGCGGTAGGAGACCGAAGTGAGGCAGGCGGGGCGGCGCAGGATGGAGTAACAAGGGCGGTAGCAGGCAGGGCGGTAGGAGATGGACGTCAGATATGGCTGCCTGTAGCTGAAGGGTCCAGAGTAGATTGAGCGGTAAATCGGGCGGTAGGGAACCGAAGTCGTGCAAGGCTGTTTGCAGGAGCTGGGTATGTAGAAAGTCCGAGAACAGGTTGGTTGGCAGCTGACAGATGCAGAAGACCCCGAGTGGCAGCAGGGAGGCTGGCAGGAGGTAGATGGGCAGGAAACAGGCTCGCAGTAGATGGAATGATAGCGCTTGACGATGTAGCAGGTAGGTTGGCATGGACGGGGCACACAGACACTTGGTAAGCAGGGGCTGGGCTCAGAGCAGATGGGTTGGCAGATGCTGGAGACACAACAAGAGGGCTGTTGGCAAGTGCTGGAGACACAAGGTGGTCCGCAAGGGCTCGGAACACAGCAGACGGGGCGAAGGTAGACGGGCTCGCAGACCAGAGCTGCACAGGGAGCTGGCTGGCAGAGGCTGGGCTCCGAGCAAGATGTCTCACAAGGACTGGGGTCACAGCAAACAGCCTGGCAGCTATTGCCCACAGAGCAGACAGATGGACAGCAGCTAGGTGTGGGGCACACTGGCTGACAGCAAGTGGGTTCGCAGACCACTGGTTGGCAGGAACTGGGCACTGTGCAGACAGCTGGACAGCAGCTGGGCTCACAGACAACTGGTTGGCAGCAGCTGGGCTGGCAGGGGGTGGGCATACAGAGGACCGATTGGCAGGAAGCAGCCTCGCAGCACACGGGCTGGGCACAGCTGCTCACGGAGCAGGAGGGCTCACACATGGTTCCCTCGCAGCACACGGGCTGGGCACAGCTGCTCACGGAGCAGGAGGGCTCACACATGGTGCCCTCGCAGCACACGGGCTGGGCACAGCTGCTCACGGAGCAGGAGGGCTCACACATGGTGCCCTCGCAGCACACGGGCTGGGTGCAGCTGCTCACGGAGCAGGAGGGCTCACACATGGTGCCCTCGCAGCACACGGGCTGGGCACAGCTGCTCGTGGGATAGCAGGGCTGACAGCACTGGGAGCCACAGCCGGATGATCCACAGCCATCTTGACAAGTCACCAGTTGCCACGTCTGGCTCCGGCAGGAACTGGGCAAGCAGACAGGCATTCTGCAGTTCACCTCAGTGGAGCAGAGAGAGATGGCTGGTACGGAGGGGCATTTCCTAGGACAGCAGTTTCCAGACATGATGGAGGTGCCTTGTTCCTTGTGAGTGCTGCGAGGTGGCTGCCCGACTGGCACAGCTCCCCGGGGCCCTCGTCTTTATACCCCTCCACCGGCATACGCTGCTTTGAGCTCCTGCGTCTTTTCCTCATTGCTGTTTGGGCCACTTTTCAGAGGAACATCTTATTACGCCAAGGTTTGTTGACATGAAGTTGTTTATCTACCCATAAAGAAGCTGTTTGTTTACTGACTTGCTAAATTTGGAATCCTTGGAGTCATGGGTCACCTTGGAATAAGCATCATCTCCTTCAAGCTGGATGACCTGTATTGTGAGCATCAAGAATGGGGGAAGAAAAAGGAACATATAATTTATCCATCTTCCAGTCCTCTGTACCGGGCCCTGGCTGGACACAGGGGATGCCCATGCGTAAGACCTCCTCTGGCATTCTCATGGGTATCGCTGTCCATGGGCAGACAAGGGTGCAGTGCAATGACAAACTAAACGACAGACATACGGGCTTACTGAGAGGGCCAGTGGTGAGCTCTGTGGGAGAGGGCTTACCGGGGCTGGGTTTTAAATGACTGCGCTTTATAGCAATGATCTTTTTTTTTTTTTTTTTTTTGTCTTTTAAAATATATTTTATTGATTTTTTAGATAGAGAGGAAGGGAGCAGGGAGAGAGATGGAAACATTGATGAGAGAGAAACATCGATTGGCCACCTCCTGCATCCCCCATACTGGGTATCGAGCCCACACCCAGGCATGTGCTCTGACCAGGAATCGAACCAGTGACCTCTCTCGGTGCAGAGGACGATGCTCAGTCCACAGAGCCACACCAGCTGGGCCAATGATCTTCCTTACACCATCAGCAATCCCGTGAGAAAGGGAACCTTCTTCCTCCATTATAGAAGAGGAAAAGGAGGGGGGGTTGAAATAAAAGTCTGTCACTTGCTAGATATCCCACACCGTTTGCCCCCAATCTAGAGCTGCTCTTCTTCCCCGTCACCATCCTGTCTGGACAGACCTTTCTCGGGAGGCTGTGTCAAAGCCACGTGTCAAAGGGTTAGCCCACAATGCTGCCCTTCTTCCTGTTCTGTGAGCAGCCCTGACCCAGACCACTGGCGCTACCTGTCCCGGGGAGGCACCTGACCTAGCCCCTCTGCTTCTGTTTCCTCTTTTCCTTCCTCTCACCCCACCTCGAGCATCCAGTAGACCTCCAGAGTTCTTCTTGCATTTGGTGATTTTTTTCATTAAATTTATTGGAATAGCTTTAGTTGATAACATAAATTTCAGGTGTACAACTATAATATGACACCTGTATGCTCTATTGTCCTTGGTGATTTTAACAGCTCCTAGAAGAAAGATACATCCAAGGCCCAAAGGGTAAAGAAGAAAGAGGTTTTTTACAAAAACATGTGAGCAAAAGCAAAAAGCACAAATGCTTTCTCAAAGCACTGTGTCCATGCTAGTGCTCAAGATAGACCTGCAGAGAGATACAGACCCGAGGTTTCTAAACACCAAGGCCTGATGTCCTCGCTCCCCAAGGCCCCACCGGCCTCCACCATGTGCTTTCAACATCAGTGCAGAAGGCAGCTTTGGAGAAGCTGAACCACTTTTCCATGCATTCATCATTCTTCTCTTCGTGTGTTACTTTATTCAATCATTTGCTCAATTTCCATTTTATTCGTCAATTCAGCCAGCCACCATTGAGTTCTGTGTAATAACACAAGACAAATGAGTTGCATTCCAGACGTGAGGAGTTCAAGTTTAGAAGAAAGACAGGTACATCCCTAAGCAATTATGGGATAGTATACATACAAGTACTACAATACTCGGATACACAGGGTGCTATGGGGGCACCCAGCAGAAACACCAATGTGTTTGGGGGGGAAGTTAGGGAAGGCTTCTTAAGAGCATGATATATTTGGGGAGCAGCAAATGGTTCCACAGCCGGGATGAAAAGTGCAAGGGGACAGGAAAGGACAGTGATGGTCTAGAGGCACTCAGTCGTGGAAAGCCATGAGTTGGATTTTATACTGACACCTGGGAGTTTTAAGCAGGTGAGTAATTTGGTCAGGTTTGCCCTTTGGAAAGGTCTCTCTGGCTGTGGAGAAGGGATTGAAGGAGGGCAAGTCTGAAAGTGGGCAGACCGCGAGGGGTCTGGAGAAATTACGCAAGAGCTTCACGATGACAACATGAACTGCATAGTGCCTTGGGACTAGAGTGGTATGAGATGATTTTAAAAAGCAGGATCTATAGGATTTAGTGGTTGAAAGTGAGAGAGTAGGAATAGGGAGTGCTGTCCTCTGAGATATGGCTCTTGGGCGATAGAGGAAGAGAACTTTTAGAAAGCTTTGCTGAGGATAAGGCCAGGAGAAGACCCCCAGACCCTGCTCTCCACCTTCTAGGTCTCCTCTTCACCCACCTTCTCTTCCTCAGCTAAGCCAGCACTGAAATTCCCTGTGGAAATGCCCCTCCTCCCAAGAAATCCTTCGTAAACACTCTCGGCTGAAAAACTTGCATAGCATCATCAATTACGCTAGAATGTCATCTCCTTGAAGAATTCTTCCCTGCTAAGTGGAATAAGCTGCTCTTTTAACTGTCTAGCTCATTCCTACTTTATTTTTATTTTTTGTCGCTCTTGGCTCACTTGACACTATCTAAGTGCTAGGAGGACAAGAATTTGGTTTATTCCCTGATGTAGTTCACTATTAATATTTGTTGAATGAGTGAACGAGTGAATGAATGAATGCATGCATGAGTGAATGAATGAGTGATGATCTCTGTGGACAAGTAAGAAGGGCAATTTTCTGTCAGTAATTCAAAGAAATTACTACCTTCCACTCACCCCTCCTCGAGGCCATGGTCATGAGCAATGAAAGAATCAGCCGCTCTTAATCACAGTTGCTCAATGTAGACCAATTGACCTCTTGGCAACTTCGACCCTTTGGCATGCTCTTGCTCTGACTGTGGCTTTGTCCTAGGGGTTCAAAAGCTAGTACTTAAAAGGTCAATTCAAGGCAGAGCAAAAAATGACCTAAATAGTAGAACCAGGACCGACTCAACTCTCAAATTCTCTCCCAAACCAAGATACTGCTAATACTGCTGGGATTTTTAATGCAACAACAAAAAAATGAAAACACAAGGAACTACTGCTAGAATGGCTAGAAATAAAAAGACTGACAATATCAAATGTTAGCAAGGACATGGAGCAACTGGAACTCCCAGACATCCAAAATGGTACAGCCACTTTGCAAAAACAGCTGGGTAGTTTCTTATAACATGAACCATTCAATTACCATTTACCCAGCAATCCAACGTCTAGGTATTCATCCAAAATAAATAAAAATATATGTCCACACAAAAAAATTGTACATGAATATTCATAACAGCGTTATTCATAATAGCAAATAACTGTAGACAACCCAAATGTTCATCAGTAGATGAATATTTTTAATGTAATTTATTTATACAAGGTAGTTTATTCACTCAATAAAAAGGAATTAACTATTGATAGCTACAACATGAATGAATATTCAAAAATGTTATTCTAAGTGAAAAAGTTCACACTATATGATTTTGTTTATATGAACTTCTAAAAATGGCAAATTTTATAGTGACATAAAGCAGATTAAGGGTTGTCTGAGATCAGGGTCAGGTGGGGGAACTGCTTGCAAAAGGCGCTGGGGAATTTGAGGGATGATGGAAAGTTCTAGACCCTGAGTGCAGTACTGGTTACTTGAATATATACAATTGTCAAATCTCATCAAACTGTACACTAAAATGGGAGTGATTTATTACATGTAAATTATATCTCAGAGTTAGCTTATAAAAATGAAACAAAAACTTTTAAAGGCAAAAATGTAAAAGCAACATAATTCCAGTATTATTTGTAAATATGCTTAGAAAGGAGTCTGGAAAGATACATGTTAGGAATAAGCCCTGAGTGGTGAGAATTTGAGTGGCTATTATTTCTTCTTTCTATTTTTCTGTGTGTTTTCATATTTTGAGGAATCATTACGATGCCTATAATCAGAAAAATATTTTTATTTTTGTTTGTTGAATGAAACATTGCTTTGTAGGAATAAAAATCTTATTCTCCCATATAAAAATAAATATTGTTCCCTAGAGCAGAATTAGTTTTCGTCCACAGGTAGCAGCTCAAGGTCACATTCAGCAAGAGGTGAATCAACTCTTTTGAATTTTAACCTTCCAGCTGAACCCACACGTGCCGTGGTCAGGCCCCACTTAGCAGACGGATGCTCATCCTTCTCATCCCTGGGCCTCAGGCAGAAGAAATACAGCCGGTTCCAGAACACAAAAACCCAACCCAGAAAAGGGAGCCTTTGCCAAAGCATGATACTGGAGGAAGGACCTGGACTTCCCAGAACAGCCTCGGAACCTGTGTGTTGTCAAATTTTTGCTACAGGAATCCCTCCCATTCAGAACCAAGGGTGTCTTACTAAGCTTTCTCCTTTGACTTTGTCCAAAGTTCTGACCGAACCTGAAGCCTCCACTAGAACCATTCTAGGAGAACTACAAGGCAGAAGGAAGCCTTGCACCTCGCTCTGGGTTAAACTTAGCCAGCATCCGCATTTACCTGGGAGCTTTAAAAAACGCAGGTCCCAGGGCCTCCACCCTAGGGCTAATGGGTAAACTCTCTAGCAGCAAAGCCCAAGAATCTGTACTCTTTTTTTGCAAATTGTATTAATTTATTTTTGTTACAGATGTTTCTCCTTTTCCCCTCCTAAGGATCTGTACTTTTAAAAGCCTCCCCAAGTGAATCTCGTGTAGCACATGGTCGCTTCAGTCTACATGTATGGTTCTCGGACTTCAGTGCATAAAAACATCTGGGGCTCTTGTTCGAAAAAGATTTCCAGGCCGCCGGCCTGTGGGTGCTGACTCTGCCTGTCTCCACTGTAACCACCCGGGTGGTTCTGATGCAGGTGATCCACCAACTGCGTCTCAAAGCCCTATCGTGGACACCACAGTACATTTTTTCTGGCCCAGCGCCCAAGAGCGGGCCAAGAAAGAGGCAGCAGAACTAAGTTGGTGCCGGCATGCTCAAATTTATTAAAAAGTTAACAAAGAGGAATGATTTTTGCACCTCAAAAGCAGCAGAAAGCTGAAGAGGTCAGTCCCCCCGACGCCGTGAAGGAGAGGATGCCTTATGGTGACAGGACATTGAACTTCATGAAAATCAAGCCATGTGGGGTCACCCTTTCAGTTTCGGGGATCCCTCTGGATGGCGCCCCGTTTTAATTCCTCACCAGCACATGGCTCTCGTTCTCAAGGCCTTGAAACACCATGGCGGGCGCTGAAGAACAAGCCTCCTCTACAAATAACACGAGGCAGGCCACTGTCTCGGAAGGTCCTGGAGCCAGGGGTCTCCCCTGGAGCCGATGGAGGCTTTCCCTGGGACGGCCTCGGCGGACGGGACAAGGGCGGTCTTCACTTCGTGTCGCAGACAGGCGTGGGCTGGCAGCACACCGGGCCGCAGCAGCCAGCGGAGCTGCAGCAGCCGGAGCCGCAGCAGCCGGAGCCGCAGCAGCCGCCGCCGCCCCCGCAGCCGCCACCTCCGCAGCCACCGCCCCCGCAGCCGCCGTCCCCGCAGCCGCCGTCCCCGCAGCCAGATCCGCAGCAGGAAGACCCGCAGCAGGAAGACCCGCAGCAGCTGCCTCCGCCTCCGCAGCCGGAGCCTCCGCAGCCGGAGCCTCCGCAGCCGCAGCAGGAGCCGCAGCAGCCGCAGCAGGAGCCGCAGCAGCTGGGCTGGCAGCAGCACATCTCACAGCAGTCTTGCTCCTGGGTGCAGCAGGCGAAGCAGTCCCCTGGGCAGCACCCCATGATCCCGGCGGGTCAGGGCGCACAGCAGCAGCGCGGCCGTGGTTCCCCAGGTCTGGCCGGCACCGGCTGGACAGCAGCTTTTATATCCCCTCCGCAAGGGTGTTGGCGCAAGGGACGGATATTGGCTTTGTTGTTATTTATGCCAGCTTCCATAGAACGTCTCATTAGCTGCCTGTTTATTTTCCAGCCCTGAGTACCTCAACTCATAAAAAGGCCCCACTCCTCCCAGTGCTATTTGTCCAGAGGGTAAAAATACATCTTCCCAAAGACCTGTCATCACGGTCACACATGGGCCAGCCATCATTAGCCATGCTGGAGCGAGGAGCCCGGCAGGCGCAGGCTCCGGCGCACGGGCTCCCCTTCACAGCTTTCCTGGCGCAGGTGGGCTGCTGGCCCTTTGTGTCATGGGTGCTGTCCCGGGGGGAGAAAAGGGGGAGAGCTGGATGGCCTGCGCCTTCTGCCACAGAAGAGGCTGCCCGGGAGGTCTGGTCACCGGGCCCCTCCCCGCTGGAAGTGGCACCTTCCCCGGCCCATGTGAGCAAGGCAAATATTTGTGTGTGTGGTATGTGGAGTGTGCCGCACGTTTGTTTGGGCTTGGTCAGTGACCATCAATCACGAGTAATAACTGCTCTGTGAAATGGAGAGAGACTCACCATAAAACTGCCAGAGGCAGGGGAACCACATTCTCTGGGCTGTGCGAGGAACTGAACACTCACCCTCCTCTCTAAGTGGGCTGGGAGACGGTGGTCAGAACCTGCAACACCCCAGCCCCAGCCCTCTCCTTGGTAGGAAGAGCAGGAGGAGATGGAGGAGGAGGAGGAGGAGGAGGAGGAAGGGGAGGAGGAGATGGAGGAGGAGAAGGAGGAGGAAGAGTAGGAGGAGATGGAAGAGGAGGAGGAGGAGGAGGAGGAAGAGTAGGAGGAGATGGAGGAGGACGAGTAGGAGGAGATGGAGGAAGAGCAGGAGGAGATGGAGGAGGAAGAGGAGGAGGAGATGGAGGAGGGGGAGGGAGAGGTGGAGGAGGGGGGAAGAGGTGGAGGAGAGGGAGGGAGAGGTGGAGGAGGAGAAGGAGATGGAGGAGAAAGAAGGAAGGAATGGAGGGAGAGAGAAAGGAAGGAAGAGGGAGAGAAAGAAAGAAGGGAAGAAAGGAGATCATTGAGCATCCAAACGCTGCATTAAAATGGGAATGTCGTGCACTTTTCTTAAGACCATCTGGCAGAATGAGAGAGTACACAATACCCAGAGTATCATCCGGTGAATGAAATGCCATTGGAAGACTAGAATCCACAGAGAATTCAGATTCATGTGTAAATTCTGAATGGATCCAATTTCCTGTCTCCACGTGGGCTTTGGTACCTTGTCACCTTCTTGGAATGATAATCACAACCCTGGAGCCCATAGACTTGGTCCTCAGGAAGGCAGCACCAGGGTGGGAGGCGGGTGGAGAGTGGCGGTGGGCTTGGAGATCTGGATCAAGGGACACAGTCCTTCCTATTCAGTGTCCTCTCTTTAGATGAGCCTGGAGGTAAGGCAGCTTCTAGAAAGGGCTAGAAGTACTGAACACCAGGAGATGAGGGGAACGGAGACAGGGAGAAAGGACAGGTTACTTGGATCTGCTCGGATCCTCAGTGCTGCACAGGATGTGGAATTTTAGAACTGGGAGGAACCCCGAAAGATGATGTGGCCCAGGGTTTCTAAACCAGATTTTACAATCAGAATTGCCGAGGGGACTTTTGAAAAATACAGATTTCAACGTGCACCCAGTTCTGTTACCTCAGAAGATGTGCTCTTGAGAGCTTGAGAAGCTATACGTTTGAAAGTTTCCCAGATGACTCAGATTATCAAGTAGGTTAGGAAACGCTGATATAATTTAATGCCGCCATGACCATCACCTGCAAGCACTTTTTTATACAAGAGATGATAGCAGGGCCCAGACAGGACACGTTCATGATAGACTTGCCCACGAATGCCCTGTTTCCTGGTCCAGTGTTCCTCCCAGCACTCCGCATCCACAGATGGACACCTCTGGGTAAGTATAATACAGCGATGTTCACCGCACACGCATTCTTTTCATTTTTTTTAAAATAACAGGTGATGCCTTCATGTGGTCAAGAGGCAAAAGGATGCAGTGAACAGTCTCCCTTCTCTTCCTGTGTCCTGCCAGGCCTGCCTCTCACTCACCCTCCCTCTGTCCCCGGCATTAGTTAACCCCTTGTGCCTGAACTTCCTCCTCTATGACATGGAAACTATGATAATAGTAGCACCAATGTCATAGGGCTGCTCTGAAGGTTAGATGAGCTAGTGTACTGCAAATGCAAGCAGTTAGAGCAGCGAGTGGCCACATATCGTTTGATACACATTAGCTATTATTTATATACATACAGTTAGATATATATATGATATATTTATATATCTAGTTCATTACACAAATGGTAGCATAATATATATGCTCTTAACATAAAATATGTTCTTAACTCTTTTTCTTCTTAAAAAGATGGCTTAGAACTCATTCCGTATCAGTGCATAAAGTTCTTTATAGTATTCTTTTGTCACTTATTTAACCAATTCTCTCTTGAAAGACATTTGCTTCTAATTTCTAATATTTTGCTATTATAAAATTTATCTTTTTTAATATTTGCTATTATACAATTTTGCGTATCTTTATATATCCCATAAATTCTTGGAAGAGAAATTTCTGAGTCAATGAATTATTGTATTTGTAATTTTTTTAATTTATTTTTATTGTTGAAAGTATGACAATTGTCCCCCTTTTTGCCCCCCACTGACCCCCTCCACCCCAGTCCAGCTCCCTCCCCAAGCCTTCACCGTACTATTGTCTGTGTCCATTGGTTATGCATATATGCATATAAGTTCTTTGGTTCATCTCTTCCCACCCCCTCCCCCCTTCCCTCTGAGATTCATCAGTGTATCTGTAATTTTGATGGATATTACCAGGTTACCCTTCATAAAGGTTGTACCAGTGTACACTCCCATTGGCCATGTGCAAGAGTACCTGTCTCTTCACGCTTTGCCAACACAATGTGTTATCAAATTTGGACCTTGGCAGTCTGATAGGAAAAGGATATGATCTTGAAATAGTTTTAATTTGCATTTCTATTATTACAAATAAAATTAAGCACTATTTCATATGTTTAAATGCTATTTATGTTCCTTTTTCTGTGAATCATCTCTTCCATTGTCCATTTCTCTATTGGATTGTTGGTCTTTTTCTTTGATTAATAGGACTCTTTTGTGAAATAGAAAATAAAAGTTTTGTCTGTATTATGAGTTAAAAATATTTTTCCCAGGTTGTCATTATTCTTTAACACTGTATTTAAATAATAACAACAGCAATAATAATAATAATGTTTACATTATAAATTTCATACCTGCTTATTGTAGAATTTCTGAAAAGTCTAAAATAAAGACAAGAAAATAAAAATCATCTGTAACACCACAACCATGATATTTACTCCTAAAATTCTTATTACCCTTTTAATGTTTTTTTCTGAACATTTGCATATAAATACTGATATGAATATAAATGTGTATACCTACAGATTATATACATATAAGTCCATATACATCAGGTACAAATTTCTAAATCCATGTTTCAAGGTATGTTAAAAATGTATAACTATTTTTCTCTAAGTCTGCTTAAACCATTTCAAACCTTCATTCCAGCTTATGGGAAAAGAAAGTCGGTTCTGAATAAGGTCAGAAATCATTCAGGGTTTCTCCCTCCCATCCTTTTTCTGGAGATCCTATCCGGGTTGGGGGGGCTTAGATAGTATCATAGCACAAAAGACCATGGCCACTGGTTCATGGTGGACATCCACTGAAATGTACATGATCCTCTCCTATCCCCGGCCACCGTCCTCCCTCTGACGGCACGAGCTGGCCTATCTGAGTTCTCCCTGCTCTCCACAAATTCTGCATCCTTCCGTCGCCCCACCCAGGAGACCTAACATCTTCTCTGTCACTTTCCTCCACCACGAAAGTCTGTTTTGAATTGCATAAGCTAAGCATTGACGTGAGTCATTCTCTCTGCATTTCTACAGTAACAGCCCTACCCTGAGACAGTGAACATTACAAAAACCCCGCTGACACCCGAGTCGTGAGGAAAGAGCAGAAGTGACAGAAACTACAGAAGAGAGTTGAGACCAGTGACTATTTTAAGGTTTCATCCTGACACATAGTTTTACAAAATCAGAATCATACTATGTAAATTGATTTATGCACTGAATATTGTACTTAACCTAAGGACATGCTCATAAATGTGTTGACTATTAAATAGTATTAACATTTGAGCATTTGTATTTTCACGTGGATTTAAATCTTCCCTACTGTTAGACATCTAAGTTGTTTCCGGGTTGCCAATATTAAAAGCAACACACTGAAATGAATGTCCTTAAATGTGAACCTTTATGCATCTTTCTCATCTCCTGAAAATAAATTCCTAGAAATGTGATCACTGAATCTGCAGCATGCTAATAATTTTAAGGTATGAATGAATATTTTAAAATCATCCTCCAGAAAAAGTGTCCCCATTTGCACAAAGCCTTCACCAATACCAGTTCTTTCTTTTTAATTAAATTTACTGGGGTGACATTGGTTAATAAGATTACATAGGCTTCAAGTGTACATTTCTATGGTACAGGATCTGTATATTGTATAGTGTGCTCACCACTCAAAGTCAAATATCCTTTTGTCCCCATATATTTGTCCCCCTTTACCCTTTGCTACCCCCCCATCCTCCTCCCCTCTGGTCACCATCAAACTGTTGTCTGTGTCTATGAGCTTTTGTTTTTCTTGTTTGTTCATTTGTTGCTTTTAGTTTTATATCCTTCATATGAGTGAAATCATATGGTTCTTGACTTTTCCTGTCTGACTTATCTCTTTGTCAAGAGATTTGCCATGATTCATAGTCCAATCATGAAATCTCATTGTAGTAGTTGTTTGTACTTATTTCACTATTAGTGCATTTATTTCGTAGACCA